CCGCGCACAGCACCCTCAGTGCTCCCTGCAGCTCCAAGGACCCGCTGAGCCCGGGCCCCAGCCTGTCACTGGTCCCCCAGGTCCTGCCTGCAGCCCCAGGGTCCTCAAACCTGTCTGGGAGGGGCCAGGGGGTTGACCCCTTAGACAGAGGGGTGCAGACACCAGGTGGACCCCCCCCCCCCCGTTGGTCCCCCACCTCTCTCAGAAACGGTGTGAGCACTGAGTCTGTGCTGAAGTCCAGCTCCGGGAGGGCTCAGCCTGCGCAGTGCGGCCACCAGAGGGGACCCATCTGCAGAGTGGCAGGCGGAGCAGTCCTCCCGGGGCAGCGGGATGCCCACCTGGCCCCAAAGGCATCCTTCAGCCTCCCCCTTACCCCTTCTGAAGGGGATCCACGTGTGGTTTCTGCTCTGCCCAGCTGCCTGCCTTGGGAGGCGGCAGAGGCTGTCGCCATCTGCTGGCCCATTCCTGTTACTGCAGAAGGTAAGAGTCATCCCTGCTGCCCAGCGGTGTCCACCGGGAGCCAGCCCAGCACATCCTTCCCATTTCACAGCTCAGAACCAGGCCGCGGCGCTTCCCTCAGCCGGGAAGGAGCAGAGCTGGATTGGGACTCAGGACGGTCTCTGCCGCTGATGTGTGTGGTCCCCATTTTCATGAACCCAGGAGGCTCCAGGGCCCTCTGTGCATTTGTAACTGTCGCTGTATTACCAGAGGTTCCTTCAGGGCACAAGATGGGACGCGGTGACCAGGACTTGTACACAGCCTCTAGGATCCGAGCCCTCTGCTCTTTCCTCCACATGCTGCAGGGACATCCTGCCAGGCGCTCTGCTCAGAAGTAGGAGGGTACCTTGCACCCAAATGGGCAACAGACACAGGCCTGCAGGTATGGAGATGACCCCTGAGCCGGCTCCAAACCAGATGAGGCAGAAGGTGCAGGAGCCCAAGCTCAAGTGGAGGCGGCAGGAAGGGAGTGGGCTTTGCTCCGTGCCCAGCCCTGGGCCAGGTGCTCACGGTCCAGATCCTCTGCAGTCCTATGAGAGGTGTTTTTTTGCTCCCTTCCCTTCCTTCTGGAATTACTGAGCACCTGTCTGTGTCAGGGGCTGGGGTACAAAGGCAAAGCTAGCATCCCCAAGACCTCACAGCCCCGTGAGAGCATCATCCAGAAAACAGCTGTGACTGGGGTGGGTGCAGGATGCAGGGGGAGCCCCAAGTGACTCAGGGAAGGTTCTCCAGTGGAGTTAAAGCCGAGCTAGGATTTGAAGGATGAGGAAGGGCATTGGAGGTGGAGGGAACTGCATGTGCAAGGCAGGGAGGCAGGAAACAGCCCGCCTGGTCTGGGAACTGTGGGAGGGCGTGGAGCCCAGATCCAGGAAAGATGCTGGGTGAGGTTGGGGTCCCAGAACCCACTACGTGGACCCTCTGCCTCCTTGACCTTTGCTCCTGGCTGCCTGGCCAGGAAGAGGTCCCCACTTACCTGCACAAAAGGAGGGGATATCAAGAGACAGGTTCATAGAGACGGACGTGAGATGAGACAGAGTTGGGGAGACCATTCATTCATTCATTCAGCAAACATTCACTGAGATGGGGAGAGACAGGTACGAAGGACCAGAGGGATTGAGCTGAGACACTGAAGGGCCAAGATCCGACAGAACGCTGGGAGACAGGTGCAGATGGCAAAGCAGCAGGGACGGAGGCCCAGCTAGCTGAGGGCAGGGCTGGCCTTGTGGGGACAAGGCTGAGAGAGGCCGAGAGGCCGAGACCTGACCCTCCAGTAACCCAGATGGATGCTCCAACTGGTTTGGTGTGGACCAAATCAGAAACTCAAGATGGGACACTAGTCGTAACCGATCGAAGCAATCGAATACATTTAGAGCCATACATTCATAATTATACTACTAATTTTAAAAAGCTAATGGGTCACAGTTTAGAGGGCGCTAGAGAACCAACTCATTATTTGGAAATTGGCAAATATAGGAAGCGAGTCAAGGATCTGGCCTGTCTTTCCTATAAGAGCTGCATATCACCCAATAACCAAACAGGAAGGGAGGGGCAGTTTTCCTGTTTAGAATTATTCCAGCTAATAAAGGGAAGAGTGATTTTGAATATGACCATTTTGTAAAATAATAATAATAATAATAACAAATAACAAATGAGCAGATGGATGAGGTCTGAGAGCAGTGGCTGCTGCGCCGCTGGGTGGAAGAAACACCATTGCCACCTATGAAGCAGTCTTGCCAAAGAAAATGGAACCTGCACCTGATCGGCACTCTTGACCTATTACAGTTTATGAGAAATAACAACACACAGGAAATACAATTTACAAAAAGTTCAGAGGCCAGAGGAGCATGGGAAAGAACACCGTAGAGATGCAATCAGCAAAACCCAAACGGTGGAAATTTACACAGCAAATAACCCGGTCCCCTCAAGAAAAGGGAGAGAGAGAGAGAGAGAGAGAGAGAGTGTGTTGGAACAGGAACCTAGAGATTTAAAAGAGGCCTGTGCACCTGATTTGAAACCCGATTCAAACCAATACATTGCAAAAACAAAAGAAGAAGAAGGCATTTATAAGAAATTGTAAATTTGAACTCTACAGATCTGATCTTAAGGAATTCTTAACTTTAAGGTCTAATCATGTGATTATGTTAAAAAAATTATTCCCTTCCAAAGTTACATACTGATATGCTAACAGAGGCAATTAAATAGGAGGGGGATATTGGGAGGCGTATAGATGAAACCAGGCTGGCCATGATGGTTGGTGAAGCTGGGTGATGGATATGTGGGGGCTCAGGTTGTTAGCCTGTATATTTGTTTTATTTACAAATTTCTAAAATATGTTTACAGAGGCTGTGACCCTTCTCTCTACCTATAGGCCCCAAGGAATAGAAGGTGCTGAGAGTTACAACAGCAGGTTGCAATCCAGACAGCTCTGACGGGGGGAGGTCCCCTGGTGGGCCAGAGGGGACTTTCAGGGGACTTCGAGCTGGTCTCAGGCACAGTCCCTGGTGCCCCTGGTTTGGGGGAGGGGCAGAGGATCAGTAAGGGAGGCCGGCTCCTCTGGGCCTGGTGGCACTGGGTTCGGGCACTGCCACCTTAAGGCAGCTGAGGGTGTGAGTGGGTGGCTCCAAAAATAGCAGGGGAGGCAGCAGGGAGAGGGAGGGAGTCACATGTGCTGCTGAGGGGCTGAGGCCTGGGCAGCTGGCCAGTGCTGGCGCCTCTGCCTGCTCCCCCAGAGCCCGCCGCCTCTCGCTTTGCCAGCAGAATCTTCCTCCCTCTTGCCCTCCATCTCCGAGGAGTCAGAGAGGTGCCAAGGTGTCTCTGGGACAAACGCCGTCCTGCCTGCCAGCCTGAGTGGACGCTGACTCTGGAATTTGCTGGCTCTCCAGGGACGGGTGGGACAGTCAGGTGGGAGAGAGAGGAAGGGACAAGGACTAAGTCACCTGCTCGCCAGGCCAACACCTGCCCCCTCAGGCTCTCGGCAGCGCAGGTCCCAGATATCCTTGCCCGGGGCATTTGCCAGGGTGAAGTGGCAATGCCCTTTTTCTCAATGCCGTGTTTACACAGGCACCAAGAATTTTGGAGCCCTGGCACCCATGAGCCCCGCCTCCTTCTCAGGGCACCTGGGGAGCATGCCCCTCTGCCTGCTCCGAGGGGGAAGCCCCCAGAAGGAAGGGTACCCCCGTCACACCTGCACTAGGTCCTTTGGCAGGTGCAGAAGGAAGGGGTGCCCTGGATTGATTCAGAACTGGGCTGCGTGCTTTGCAGGTACTCAGTGGGCAGTGGTGTGGCCTTGGGGAAGCCATACACTCCCTGTGCCTCAGTTTGCTCACCTGTAAATGGGGACGATACTAACACCGCATGGAGCTGCTGTGAGATGGAATGAGTTGCTCTGCGTAAATCTATGTGGGACCTTCAGCATGTGACTGGCAGGGGTGAGCTGTCACTGCCCGCCGGCACGCAAGCCCCACGCGGTCCGGAGTCTGCTCACCTCCGCATGCTCAGGGCCCGCTCCCCGGCAGCCGCTCCTTTAACATGTGCTGAGTTCATGACTTCGTGGGTCCCTCACAAGGACACTGAGAGGCGAGTGCTATTCTTGCCAGTTGTGGAAACAGCCCGGAGAGGGCAAGGGGCTCTTTCAAGGCCACGTCTGCAGTGAGGGGTCCAGGTGGCTCCATGTCCAGGCCTACAGGCCTCTCAGCCCGTGACCCCCTCCCCGGTCTCTTCCTGGCTGGGCCAGGTCCAGGCCTCTCTCTCTTCAGACCTGGGGTACTCGTTGGAGGTGCTTGGTCTGGGGATGAGAGCTGGGGAGCAGGCACCCTCGTGTGCTGTGAAGGAAGCTGTCACTTAGTCTCTTACACCTACTAGTCGCCAGGGCCTGGACCAGGTCCAGGGGTGCAAAGGTGAGATCCTAGTTCACCCCAAACGCTGTGCGGTTGGGCTGTCACGGGGGCGAAGGGCCCTCCGCTGGGCCTCGGGGAGGAAGAGAGGTTCAGGGGGGAGGGGATCCCCGTGCTGAGTCGTGAGGGGTGAGTGGAAGTTTGCTGATGGCCGAGGGCAGGAAGGGAACTCCGGGCAGAGGGCACAGCTTGGGCAAAGGTGTGCAGACTGAGGAAGAGGGTATCCGATTAGAAGGCAGCAGGGCGAGGCTGGGCAGAAGCCGGGTCCTCTGTGTGTGTGTGTGTGTGTGTGTGTGTGTGTGTGTTGGGGGGAGTGAAAGGGGGGAAGGGGATTCTAGGCAGGATGGTCGGGTACAGGAAAGGCCGAAGGCCAGCAGCAGCTGGAGCCCAGGGCAGTGGGAGCATTACGGTTTTGGGGGGCACTGTGGTTGTCAGGTTGGGGGTAGACAACATGCTCTGGCCGCCGGGAGGGGCCGGTTGAGGGAACCTTGTCATGTGAGGAGACTGTCCATCCTAGAGACAGTCCCTGCTCCGCGTGGGGAGGGGGAGGGCTCCAGCTGCTCTGGGACACCTCCCTGTCCCTCCCCCACCCCGCCTCCCGCTCCTGCCTCTGTCACTCACAGGCCGGCCAGGCCGGGGCAGCCATGGCAGCAGCGCTGGTCTGGATTCCTTTCCTTGCTGGCAAGTTGGGGCTTCTTCAGGGAGAGGCCGAGATGAGGGGAGGACGCAGAGGCAGTTCCTCAGGGAGGGCTCGCGGGGTGAGGCGGGGGTCAGGCGGACGTCGGGTGTTGATGTTGTTGCTGGTGGGGGAATCCAGGGATCTGGGGCTAGGAGCTGGGCCAGGGACGCAGGCTCTGGTGGCCCTGAGGGGTGCGTGTCCTCGGCCAGCTGCGTGGGCCTGAGAGCGTAGGTCCCGAGAGTCGTGGGCCCTTTAATGGCTGACTGGCCGGCTTCTTCCAAGGCTCGGGCTAAATTTGTCCCTGGAGGGTGTGGGGCCTGCTGGATCCCCTTTGCTCAGCTCCCATTAGCCGCTAGCGGGGGCCTGATCCCCTGCATGTTAGGGGAGGTGGGTGAGGGCCCCAGAATGCCCACCCTCCTCCTGCAAAGGCTCCCCTCTCTCCCCCACCCCTCCAGGCCCCCGGACATTCAGCATGGGGTTCTCTTCTAAGAGCTCTTACCACACTCACGCCCCACCCCTCCCAGCCACACGTCAGCCTCTGCCACTGTGACCCCCACCGGGGCCTCCGGGGAGGAGTGGGGAGCTCCCTGAGTTCAAACCGGCCTCCGTCCTCTCCTGGGAGCCAGTGGAGGAGCCCTCTCCTGTCCCTTCGGGGCGTGGTGGGAAGGGGAGCAGATCCCGTGTCCCCAACTGAGGCTCAGGCCAGTTTGGGGGCTGTGGGTCCCCCCGCAGGTCTCCTGGCAGGACTGGGGCGCGCCGAGGCCCAGCAGACCACCCTGCAGCCGGCCGTGGGCCGCTTCTTCGTGCACACCTTGGACCGGGAACCCGCCCTGCGCCTCCCTGAGCACGTGGGTGAGAGGAGCCTCCTGCACCTGGGGCGGGTGGGGGTGCCTGGCCCAGGGCTGGTGAAGGCTCCTGTCACGGGCCCAATCCCTTCCTTCCCTCCCACCAGCTGTCCCAGCCACTGTCCCCGTCACCTACCACGCCCACCTCCAGGGACACCCAGACCTGCCTCAGTGGCTCCGCTATACCCAGCGCAGCCCCCACCACCCTGGCTTCCTCTACGGGAGCCCCACCCCAGAAGACCGCGGACGCCAGGTCATTGAGGTACGGGCAGGGCCCCGTGGGCGGTGTCACGTCCATGTACATGGTTTGCATGCCTCTAACTGGGTAATAGCGCAGTCCTTTCCCGCCAGGTCTCAGCTGCACCGCTTTTCTCCCCTCACCCCACCGCTCTGGCCGCTTCCCCACCCCCTGCAGGTCGTAGCCTACAACCGGGACAGCTTCGACCCACCCCACCAACGCCAGTCTTGGGGGATCTCTCCTGGGAGGGGGTGTGTGGAAGGAAAGACTTGGAGAGAAGTGGGGAGCAGGGCGTCCTGGGAAGCCTCGGGGGTTGTATCCTTGGCTGCTCTGCTGGCCGCCAGTCTGTGGGGTTGGGGAAGGGCGTTTGGGGCCTGTGATGTATGGGGTGTGAAGGAGGAAGGAAGGAGTCTGAGGAGATCGAGGGAGGAGCTTGGGTGGGGAGGCTTGGGAAGGATCTGTGCAGGGCTGGGTGCAGCCTGAGGTGCCAACCTGGCCCTTCCAGGCCCCCTGCTGCCATACCAGGCTGAGTTCCTGGTGCGCAGCCATGACGTGGAGGAAGTGCTGCCCTCAACCCCTGCCAGCCGCTTCCTCACAGCCTTGGGGGGCCTCTGGGAGCCAGCAGAGCTCCAGCTGCTCAACATCACCTCCGCCTTGGACCGTGGGGGCCGTGTCCCCCTTCCCATCGAGGGCCGCAAGGAAGGGTAGGCATGTGACCCTGGAGGGCTTCCTGAAGGAGGAGGCACTTTGCCTCCCGTCTGGGTGGTAGGCATAGAACATGGGTCTCCCTAATTTCCAGGCGGGGCTTTACCCACCTTTGCACCCACCCCCTCAGCACGGTTCTACGTAGTTTCCCATAAACATCTTTGCCAGACGCATCTGGCCACAGGCATTTTTGCTGCAAATATTTTTCCTGCATAACTAACTATCCATGAGGCATTTCACCATAAAAGATAAGAGAATGAAAAATAAAAGAGGGGTATTAAAAAGGATGTAAAGGAACATGAACATTTATAACAAATAAAAGACTTCATTGCAAAAAATGAAAATAACATTGTTTTTGGAGTCTTTGTTCATAGGATTATGAATTTTTTTTTTTTTTTGCTTGATGACTAGTCTTGCTCAGCATCACATTTTTTTGTTTACTAAAATTTTTTCCTTAATTAAGAGAGGTATCAGTTTCCAACTGAAGAATCGATCATTAATGCTCTTGAGGACTTGAGTTAGAGGCTGCCCCTTCTATTTGTGTAGCTTGGTAAACTTGGTTTTGACAGGTGGGAAGGAGGAGTATATTCACCAAAGGATTTGCAAACTGAGATGTGATCATTTCCTAGCAGAGCGTGGCGCCTGGCTTTACGCGCACCTTGGCAATCTGGCTCAACTGGTAGCTGTTGTCCTCCACTATTTTCAGACCGACACGGCTACGTGAGGGTTCAGATTTGTATAAAAATGGGAGTCCTGGGAGAACTTTGTCAATGGAGAAGGAAACCAAACTGACAAAATACATTAAGTCCGCTAGAGTAAACCAGACGACGGCCCAACAGTCCAAGGGCCTTACGGTCAATGAGTTATGCAGAGAGCAGGCGCGTGGCGAAGATGTTTACGAGGAAACTTTGGACACGCCTCACCAGGCCCATCCACACCTCCCAGCTCCACTCCACTGGCCACTTCCCTCTGGCCACACCCTCCTGCCCCTCCTGCCCCTCCTGCAACCAAACCCTGGTTATCGGGAACTCCAGCTTCCTGTGCCCATGAGGACGTACAAGGCCCACCCTTTTAAAGGACATTCGTGGAGGGATGAGGCCCCCAGAAGCCTGGACCGCTCTGTGTACTCGCACCATAACCCCGGCTTTCAGGGTGGCCTTGTAACCCCCACATCTCCAGTGCTCGGTGACACCCTCCCAATTTGCTGACGGTGGCTTCTGTCTGGGTCCAGGGTGTACATCAAGGTGGGCTCCACCTCACCCTTCTCCACCTGCCTGAAGATGGTGGCGTCTCCCGACAGCCATGCTCGCTGTGCCCAGGGCCAGCCTCCGCTTCTGTCCTGCTACGACACCTTGGCACCACACTTCCGAGTTGACTGGTGCAACGTGTCCCTGGTGAGGAGGGACCCTGGCTCTGGGGGGGGGGGGGGGGGGGTGTGGCCCCCATGACAGTCTGCTCCCTGCCCCTACCCATCCCAGTCTCTCTGTTCCATTTTTTTCTCTGATTATCTGCCCCCCCCTTTCCTCTTTCACACACACACACACACACACACACACACACACACACACACTTCCACTTTCTACCAAAAGAGGGCGACAGAGTCCATACCCAGAGATCTCTGGCTCCTGAAGTCCCCAAATAACTCCCACAATGCAGCTCCCCACCAAGGGCCTCTGTGTGACCGCTGTCTGCTTCCTTCTAAGGCAGTGGTTCTCAACCTTCCTAATGCCGCGACCCTTCAGTACAGTTCCTCATGTTGTGGTGACCCCCCCCAACCATAAAATTATTTTCGTTGCTACTTCATAACTGTAATTTTGCTACTGTGATGAATCGTAATGTAAATATCTGCTATGCAGGATGTATTTTCATTGTTACAAATTGAACATAATTAAAGCATAGTGATTAATCACAAGAACAATATGTAATTATATATGTGTTTTCCGATGGTCTTAGGCGACCCCTGTGAAAGGGTCGTTCGACCCCCAAAGGGGTCGCGACCCACAGGTTGAGAACCGCTGTTCTAAGGTGTCCCCGAGTCAACCTGCCTGCGGTGAGGAGCAGGTAGTTCTCACTCACCACTGCTCTCTGGGCGTTGAGGTATCTCAGGTCCCTGGCCTACTCCGTCCCTGTGAATTGACCAACAGCGCAGCCAGGGGCGGTGATCAGCAACATTCCTGAGCCCTTGCTATGTGCTGGACACTACATTCAACCAGTTGTATTCTTACCGCCACCCCAGGAGACAGGCACCACTGCTAGCAACCCGACTTTACAGGTTGGGGAGCTGATGCCCCTACAGGGAAGTCATCCCAGCCAAGCACTTGTCTGAGTCAGGATGCAAACCCAGGCAGTCGGACCCTGGAGTGTACTCTAACCATTGTGCGGCCTGCCTCTCTGAGAATCTCTCTCCTGGCTCCTAGTTCAGTGCTTGTCCTGCTGGGTCACCAGAGCTGCCCCTTCCTGTGGTCGGATGGGGCAGTAGATAGTGGCGCCCCGGGATCACTGCCCTGATTCCCCGGGCAGTCTCTGAGTCCATCCAGCTGCTCCTGGGTCAGTGCTGGGCTCTCTGAACAGGTGGATAAGTCAGTGCCAGAGCCCGCAGACGAGGTGCCCACCCCAGGCGATGGGATCCTGGAACGTGACCCCTTCTTCTGCCCACCCACCGAGGCCATGGCCCGAGAATTCCTGACCGACGCACTGGTCACCCTCCTGGTGCCCCTGCTGGTGGCCCTGCTGCTCACCCTGCTGCTGGCCTACATCATGTGCTGCCGGAGGGAGGGACAGTGAGTGTGCGGGACAGGGGGCAGGTTGTGGGACTCCTTGTGGCACCTGTACTCTGTGGGGACCCAGACCCTCAGGGAGTGAGGTACTCAGACAGGAAGGGAGAGGGGGCCCCTTTCTAGGTCCTGCCTGGCACTGGGAGGGGGTTGTGGACAACAATTAACCCCTCCCCCTGCTTTTCCACAGGCTGAAGAGAGACCTGGCCACCTCTGAGTGAGTAAGGGGAAGCGGGGGGCTGGGTGGGAGTCCCCTACCCTGTCAAGCTGGACCCTTCCACCTCCATGAGCACCATAGACAAACCAGATCATTCTGAGATGAGGGGGCCACCCTGGCCTCTGAAGTCCAGCCCTGGCTGGCTGGACGCTGAGCCTGACCTGGCCTGGGCTCGCCTTTGATTGTTTTGGTCTCCATGGAACTGTCTAATGTGGGATTGGACAGGGGAGGGGACCTGGAGAAGCAGCTGAGAGACCTTCAGCACACTCACACCCACACTCACACTCACACTCACACCCATACCCCCACACTCACACCCACACTCACACTCACACCCATACCCCTACACTCATACTCACACTCACACCCACATTCATACCACACACCCACACTCACACACCCACACTCACACCCACACCCACACCCACACCCACACTCACACTCACACCCATACCCACACCCACACCCACACTCACATTCACACCACACTCACACCCACAACCACACCTACCCACACTCCGCTCTGAGTCAGACACTTGGGCTTCAGGCCGGATTCTGCCACACAATTACTGTGACCCGTTCTGGCCTCGGTTGCTCTGCTATGGTTGGACTGACTAACGTTCGTGGATGCTTTCAATTCCCCCAGCCCTTCCCAAATCCACCTCACCCTTATTTTGCCCAGGTTTCCCCCACCCTTGGCCTTAACCCCTCCTCCAGGCCCCAGCCCACTCCCTTGAACCCCAAAGATTCCAGGAGGCAGGCGTTAAATAAGGCTCCTTTTATTCCCACTCTCTGAGCCGTCGCGGGCCTGGCCCCTCTGTTAGCTTGCGGGGCCTGCCTCCTTAGGTGCGGGGGCATTTGGCCACCCTGCGAGCCCCCTTGATGAGCTGCTTGGGTCCCTGCTTGGAACTCAGTAGAAACCTACGCCCGGCCCGTGGCTTCCCCGGCTGTCGGCGCTGCCTCTGCTGCCCCGGCCTCTTGGCGTCGAGCTTGAAGCTGGAGGTGTGCTTCTTGCCCATGCGGAAGGAGCCCGAGGCCCCCTTGCTGGTCACCTGCCGGAGCATGCCCTTGTCCACCAGCCCCTTGAGCACTCTCTTGAATCGCCAGTCGTTGCGGGTCATGTTGTAGCCCGTGGTGATGAGCGCCTTCTTCAGGGTGGCCAGGGACACGCGGTTGCGCCCCTTGTCCGCCATGACCTCCAGGATCACCTTGGATATGCTGGGCTTCTTGTGGGCTTGGGGGCAGGCGTGGTGCCCCGTCTCGCTCTTGCTAGGGACTCCGGACACACTGGCCTGCGGGCCCGCACTCAGGCCGCTGTTTGAGGCCAACGGCGTGGTGGAGGGTGGCGTCGCAGTGTCTTTCTGCATCTCTTCCTGGGGTGGGTGAAGGGCACTGGGCGCGAGGACCTCCAGGATGGCGGCTAGAAATCTCCACTGGGTGGCTCCTTGGTGGCTGAGGTGTGTCCCAGCTCCGTTCCCGTCAGAGGCTCCCTCCTAGGGCTCTGGCCCAAGCCTTCCCTGGGTGGCCAGGAGGAGGACCAAGGATGATCACCCACGGCTGGTCTCAGCAGACTTGTGCCTCTGGCGCAGGGGGTGGTCAGGTTATTTCTGTAGTGACCTCAGAGGGACATTGTGAGGCCACCAGAATCCTGTGAGGGTCACAGTGGCCCCATTGTTCCCTCCTGGGAGGGGCAGACAGGAGATGCCAGACAGTGGGGGCACTGACTTGCCAGGTACTCTGGGAAGAAGGGCTGTAGACCCACGCGCGTACATGTACATGTGTGAGTGCCAGCAAGTTTCAGGGTATGCTGAGCCCCCAGTTTAAAAAAATCTTTTTATTGATCGAGAGAGAGAGAGAGAGAGAGAGGAAGGGAGAGAAACACTGATTTGTTGTTCAACTTATTTGTGCATTCATTGGTTGATTCTTGCATGTGCCCTGACTGGGGATCGAACCCGCAACCTTGGCATGTTGGGATGATGCTCTAACCAACTGAGCTACCTGGCCAGGGCTGAGCCCCCAGTTTTAAACCCACCATTTTGACCCCACCATCTCAACCCATTGATCAACTCCCTATACAAAGCCATGAACAGGCTTTTTCCCCCTCCCTCTTTTCCTTTTTATTTGATAGAAGTTTCCCCATGGAGATCAGTGATTTTCTATGTCCATTTTACAAGGGAGATTTTATTCCTCGGTTTCTTTTGGCCTCTGCCATCGTGACTGTAGACATTCTCTTCTGAGCAGCTATTTCCGCCGCGTCCTGCGTTCGCCGGGCCAGGGTTGTAGCTCTGATGGTGTCAGGACAACCTGCCTCCACCAGTTTTGAATCAATAACCGATTGTACCGTGTGAAATATTAGCCCTTGTGGGTTTGGACTTTCTGTTGATTTATTTCTACAAAATCCTTTTTCCCCTCTTGTTCGGTCACTACCATTTTTCAGATTATCCTCAAATTGTGATTCTGCTGCTCGCTTTTCACTATGTCAGATTCACTGGTCGGAAAGGCCTGCAGTCTCGGCGACCCTCTCCTGTGGTGTCCGTGTGGTGGAGAGTGTGTGTGTGTAGGTGTGTGTGTGAGTGTGTGAGTGTGTGTGTGTGTGAGTGTGTGTGTGAGTGTGTGTGAGTGTGTGTGTGAGTGTGTGTGAGTGTGTGTGTGAGTGTGTGTGAGTGTGTGTGTGAGTGTGTGTGAGTGTGTGTGTGAGTGTGTGTGAGTGTGTGTGTGAGTGTGTGTGAGTGTGTGTGTGAGTGTGTGTGAGTGTGTGTGTGAGTGTGTGTGAGTGTGTGTGTGAGTGTGTGTGAGTGTGTGTGTGAGTGTGTGTGAGTGTGTGTGTGAGTGTGTGTGAGTGTGTGTGTGAGTGTGTGTGAGTGTGTGTGTGAGTGTGTGTGAGTGTGTGTGTGAGTGTGTGTGAGTGTGTGTGCCCGTCAACTGCCCCCGTGCTGATGTGAAAGGGCTGTGGGGACAGGCACCTCGGCTCTGGCTCTGGCTCTGGCTCCTGCTCTGGAAAAATCTCCCCAGAACATTTCCCACCTGTGTGTGTTGCCAGAGTAATGAGACCCAGATGTGGGGCTGGGCGTGGGGAGGGGGCCCGTGATCCAAGGCCCGTCCCCCCACGGGGTCACTACCTGCCGCTGCCTCCCGCCTCAGCATCCACACACTCCTTGCTCCCTTTCCCCCTCGGCCTCCCCTTGCCTGGGAATGGAAAATTGTGTTTTGGACAATCCCGCTTGCCAAATTCCAGACTCAAGAGCTCATTGTGACCCTCCCCTAGCCTTCGAGGGTGACTCCACCTCCTCCCTGCGGCAGACAGCACTGTGTCCTACTCCCCCCTCCCCCCGCCCCCCAGGAGCGCGGCCCATTCAGCAGGGAGCTGAGCGTCCTTCCTGGAGTCTAATCTGCAGGCTCCAGCTGGAGTCGGTGTCTGTGTCCACTAATCGAGGCTCGGACACGAATGGGGACCACTTGTCCTCCCCCGGTTGATCCGTAACCCAATGGCAGGTAGGGTTGCTTTCCCCTTACGTGGGACCCCGCCCCTTTAAGGAAACCAATTCTTATTGTTGGTAATGAAAAGTCCGGGCTGTCTGTCTGACCTGGCAACCAGGTAGCCTGGGAAAATGTCTCCAGGCTGGGTCCCCCAAGTGTGGGTGGGCTTGTGTAGAAGGAATTGGAACCATCCCTCCGCTGAAGGCCAAGCTCATCCGGCCTCCCTGCACGGAGGCCAGGTGGGCTTACCGAATACAGGAACACCCGGGATAGTAGCAACGGAAGGCTCCCCATAACAGCTGCTGCCAGTGGCTCCACGCTGGCCAGGACGCACTCCCAGTTTTTCCTGTATTAACTCATTTAATTCGTACAGCAGTTCGCATTGCCGTTGAGGAAACGGCGGCACAGAGAGGTTAAGTCACTTGCACAAGGTCACGCAGCCAGTAAGCAGTGGAACCCAAACCCAAAGCAAGTCTTCATGCTTCACCGAGGTGCTGCCCCACTTCTCAGAATGAACTAAAGCTCGCCCCTCGACGGCGGAAAGCAAGCCCATGGGAACGTCAAATGGGAATGAGGCTGAGACTTCTGAGGAGGAACTGGAGCTAGGGCTCAGGAAGGACTTCCCCAGGGTGTGGCCATCGGTCCACTCGGGCCTGTGGAGGGTGGAGCCTGGCGCAGGCCTCAAGGAGCCTTGGTTTGAAGCAAAGATAGGGAGACAGATTCAGAGTCTGGAGCTCAACAGTCCTGGGGGCTGACTGGGGCGGGGAGTGGGTGAACAGGGGGTGGGGTGGGGTCAAGGTACAAAGGGAGAGGAGGTCAGGTCTGAGCAACCAAAAGGTGACTCAGCCAAGGCCTGGCAGGACTTGGGGAAACAGCTTGGACGAAAGCCAGGGGATAGGAAAAAGGGGAGGGTATAGGTCTGCCAGCCTGGGGCAGGGATGGGGAGGGGAGGAGAATTGGATGTTCAGTGGTGGGAGAGAGTATTAGGGGAGGGAGCTGAGTGGTAGAGGGCCATCTATATATATAAAAGCCTAAGCAACTGTTCGACCGACCGTTTCCTATGATGTGCACGGACCACCAGGGGGCAGACGCTCAACGCACAGGCATGGGAACATGGAACAGACTGATGAATCTTTGAGGGAAGGGGGGAGGGGGAAGGGCGGAAGAGAGTAACCAAAGACTTTATATGCATACTAGAGACCCCATGCACGGATTCGTGCACTGGTGGGGTCCCTTGGCCTGACCTGTGTGGATCGGGCCGAAACTGTCAATCCGACATCCCCCCGGATTGCGAGAGGGCACAGGCCAGGCCAAGGGACCCCACCAGTGCACGAATCCGTGCATGGGGCCTCTAGTTAGAATATAAAAACAGGAAATAGAGCCCAGGAAATGCTGGCCTCTGGAAATATATATCCACTGTGGTGTCCGCTCCTATCTTATCATCTTGAGAGCTCCCACCACCTGCCAGGCACTTTTCCAAACACTCATTTAATCCCGCAGCAATCCTAGGAGGTAGTTCTATTATTAGCCCCGTTTTACAGTTGAGGAAACTGAGACACAGAGTGGGGAAGCGACTTGTGGAGGACATACAGCTGTGAATCCAGGCTGTCTGCCCCCAGAACCCCTGCCTCAGTCACAGGCCACGGAGCTGGCGCCATAGAACGCCCTGTTTGTCCTCCCTCCGCCCACCACGTGTGTGAGGCTCCCCCACATAACAGTAGGGAAGACTGTAGGGTGGCTCAGAGGCAGTGTCAGGCTGGACCCCAACGTTGGGGGGCTGACTCCCAGGCTGATGGCTCTGCCGGTCCTGTGCCCCCAGCATCCAGATGTTCCACCACTTCACCATCCGTGAGAACACAGAGGAGCTGCGGCAGATGGCAGCGAGGCGAGAGGTGCCCAGGCCCCTCTCCACCCAGCCCATGTTCAACGTGCGCACAGGCCAGCACGAGCCCTTGTTCAACGTGCGCCCAGGCCAGCAGCTGCCTCCCCAGGTGGACAGCGCCCAGGTGCCCCTCATCTTGGACCAGCGCTGAGGGCCCGCCCAGGTGGGTCCAGCAGGGCAGTGCCAGCCTCTTTTCTGGGAACAAGATGGCCTTTGTCTCAAGGTTGGGGCAGGTGGAGGGGGGGTGGAGGAGGTCAAGGGAGGGACACACAGACCTGCCCACCCACTGAGGCAGCAGTGAGGGGGTGCTCAGCAGTGCCGGGTCCAGGCCCCCCCAATGCCAAGCACTCGTGGTCAGAGTGTCAGGGTGGGGAAGGCAGGAGAACCAGGGCCTGGACCTCACAACCCCCACTCTCTCCCCGCTCTGCTGTTCCAGCTCCAGCCTCAGCCTCATCCTCCCCTCTGCCCCGACTCACAGAGCAGCCGCCACCCAGGGCCACATCCTTCCTCCTGATTCTGGCTCCCGGTCCGACGGCCTCCAGGCTTGGAACAAGCAGAGGGAGGAGGGGGGGGCAGGTGAGGATGTCTGGGGGTCAGGACACCCAGAATAAATACCTGCAGCTCTGCCCATCTACCACTGCCCGTGCCTTCTTCTCAGCAGCCTCCCTGTGCCCCTCGTTGCCTTGGGGCTGATGGCTTAGGACCAAGTGGGGCCGCCCCTGTCTGATGGTGGGGCTCCTGGTCGAGGATTCCTGAGGAGGGCCGAGTCTCTGAACCTGCTCCAGTGTTCAGAAACAGATGGGCAAGGGCCCCCATATTGTCCTTGGAAGGGCCCCCAAAGTGTCCTACTCCTTTCTCTCTCTCCCCAGAATCCCTACCTTCAAAATATGCCCTGAATCCATCCCCTTCTCACGGCCTCCACTTGCCAGTCCTGCACCAGGGTCTCTCTCCCGGACCCTGAAACAGCCTCCCCTCGTCCTCCCTGCCTCCTCCCTGCCCCACCTGTCTCGTCTCCAACAGCAGCCAAGCCCATCCTTTAACAGGAAAAATCAGGGGGTCTTGCCCTGTGCTTGCACCTCTGACCTGTCCACCTCTCAGACCTCAGCACCCCACCCTCTTCACTCACCGGCCCCAGCCATACTGCCTCCTAACCCACTCATTTTAGGCCCCGGCCTCTGCGATTCCCTCTGCCAGGAACCCAGTCCCCGCAGTGCACACAGCTACCTCCTCATTGCAATGTCAGATCCTCAGAGAGGCCGACCCCTCCTCTGAGAGCCCCCTCCGGCCCAGCCTCGGGAGAGTTGTTCTGTGTGGTGTCTTGCTGGGGTCCTCGATCCATGAGGGCAGGATGCTGTGTGCTCCTAGGGGGCGCAGAGCCTGCACACAGTAGGCACTCTGGAAAAACGCTCTGAAGGAATGAATGCAGGTCTGGGTTGCTCAGAACTGGGCAGGGCCATCGCCAACGTTTCTATCGTCGTCTTCTGGTCCCCTCCCTGCTGGGCACCCCATACCCTCAGTTAGTTAATCCCATAGGCACCGGCGGGGGCTGGCAGGGGCTCAGTGTCGGCACTGTGTGTGCTCAATAGATGTCTGTCTTTGGGGATTCACCCCCCAGCACGTGGGTTCTCTGGCGAGCAGGTGCCTCTGATTTCTCATTCGCAATTTCCTCCTTTTCCCGGGGCCCCTCATCTGGCCAAACAGGAGCTGCACGGAATCTGCTCAGATTGGAGCCGCCGGACTGGGGTGGCTCGTCCTTGAATCCTCCCCCTGGAGGAGGGGGTCCCTCTGTGCTCCCACCTCGGGCCTCGGGTTCCTCTTGTGCCCGCCGGGACGGGAGGAGCTCAAGGCCAGCCCCTCACTGCCCTCTGCTTCCTGCTCTGCCTTGGATCTTGGCAGCGCCTTCTTCCCTGCTCAGCTCCAAGGAGCACACGGGAGCCTGGCTGCCGGCCTGGGAGGAAGTGGCCCAGACAAGTAGCTGGGAGGATGGCGTGACTACACAGGACATCGAGCTGTGCCTGGTCACACTCGCGGGCACGCCCAGCCTTCCCTGGCGGCACAGGGGAGGGCACAGCACACTCGGCTCCCCTGTACTCAGGGGGGAGGGTAGGATTCCACTGGGCGGTCAGTCCTACCCCTCCCCACCCCACCCACAGCCGAGGACACAGCCACAGTGTCCCCACCATCTCCACCAGGAGACTCCACCTCAGGCCTTGCTCCGTCCTCGGCTCCTGCCATCCCTCAGCTGGCACTGCCCACGTGGCCCAGGGAGTGGCCTCCACCTTCACCCTAACAGAGCCCCACACGTGGCCTGACTCTAGACGTTTCCTCACTGCCTCTCGATCAGCGAGGAGGATCCCCGCCAGACGCAGGACAGGGGCACCGCCCACGGTGGGCCCAGCCCTCACCCGCACACTTCTCCTTTATTCGCGAAACACGCCCACACTTCATTTCACCAGAGCCCCCTTGGCCTGCTTGTTGGGGTTCGGGGTCAGATGGAGCTCTAACACCTAGTTTACTCACAGACATTCCTCACTGCCTCTCCGCCAGCGGGACAGAGGCACCGCCCATGGTGGGCCCAGCCCTCACCCGCACACTTCTCTTTTATTCGCGAAACACGCACACACTTCATTTCACCAGAGCCCCCTTGGCCTGCTTGTTGGGGTTCGGGGTCAGATGGGGCTCTAACACCTAGTTTACTCACAGACATTGATCGCGGCTGCCTCGGGCCCTTGTGAGAATTTGGGAGGGCCCGACGAGTGCCCGGCATCTGGCGGCTCCCAAGCATGGAGACCTTATTACATACAAGTGCTCACGCAATCACCCCAAAACCAGAGGTCCGTGGGGTCTCCCTGCCCCCTAAGCTCCAGGTGAAGTGAGCTCAGTTTCTGTTCTGCACCCTGTGAAGAGTTCAAGCTCTCCCCGTGAGTCGGGGGCGGAGGCTGAAACCCTGCCGCTCTGGGGCCCGGTCGCTGCCCGCGCTGCGCCGCCTGGTGGGGCAGCTGCTGGCCCCCCGAGGCCGCTGGGCATTTGAAATGTGTCCCGTCCAAGTGGAGACGGGTGGCACGTGCAATGGAAATGGCAGCACTGGGGGATATATTGGTTCAATAAAGTCTATGCTTACAATGAACGTCACCTGTTTCTTTTTATAGTTTGATTATGGCCGCCGGGACATTAAAACGACTTACGTGGCTCACGTTATATTTTGATCGGGCAGCGTGGGTTTCATGGCTCGTCCTTATCTCCACTCCAGATTGACCCAAACCCAGAACTCAGCCCCTTCTCTCGCCTGCTCCAGGCCCACTCACACCAGGCCTCTGTGCCTGCATCAGTTTTCCAAAGCCTCAGGGAGCGGGCGGGGGCTCCCCACGGCAGTGAAGTCACCGAAAACTTGATTACGTGGCCGCCTTATTCTAAGGAATGTGCTTTGCTCGCCGGTCCATCCCATCTTTCTCTTCCTCCCTCTGTCTTACACTGAGAAAACTCCACCTTCTCCAACCCGCATGCACCGCACTCACCTCTCTCAGGCCTGGCCAGGGGCGTCCCCGCAGCGCGTGGAGATCTCCGTGTGAGTGACGGTCCGATTGCCCTCCGAGACAGAGCGCCTTCTCCCAGGGTCTTGCCTCCTGCTCCATGGGCATTGCCTAGCATACCTTGGTTTCCCCCCGGGGCACACACCAGGAAGGGGACACAGAGACACAGCCGCTCATGGGCCCTAGCGACCCACTGGCCCCAGGACTTCAGGACGATGGTCTTGCCCCCGCCCAGCCCCTCCTAATTTCCCCCACACTCCTCCCTGCTCCGCCCGCCCCATTCATCCTCATCATCACACAGGCGGGCCCTCCCAGGCCCTGTCATGCCCACGCACACACGTCCCCAATGCTAGACCCAGGCCTTCTCAGCTCATACAGGGTCTCCTGCCACCGTGTGTGTGGGGGAAGCTGTCCCCGCATTTACAGACCCCTCACCCATTCCCAACACACCCGCACACGTGCAAGGCCCCTGTGAACACAGACACACTTGCTTCTCGGTGGGTGGGCACCCAGAGAGGGAGGCATCTCACCCTCACAGTGTGGCTGGTTGGACCCCTCTCACTCCCACCGCCTCCCACACTCGCGGCCGCCTCGCAGCCTCCTCCTTGGGGGGGGGGGGCACATAGTGTGGCTGGTTGGACCCCTCTCACTCCCACTGCCTCCCACACTCCCGGCCGCCACGCAGCCTCCTCCTTTGGGGGGGCGGTCTCAGCTTTGAGAGCAGCCCCACGGTTTCCTGTCCACGCTCTCCACACGCCCCCCACCTGAGGCTCCCACACTCCAGCTAGGAACCCCTCCCAGCTCCCCTACTCTAAACCTCACCCAGCTCCATCCAGGAAGGCCTGGGAGGCTCCGGGGAGGCTGAGGGTTAAGGAGCTGGGGAAAAGGGAGGGGAAACCCACCACATTTCGGTCACAGAAAATCCTGCCGGCGGATGGGCTCACCTCACCAAAGGGACCCGGGATTCTGAGAGCAGGAAAAAAATAACATCCAAACAAAGCCGCCTTCTTTTCTAGAATTTTCCATCTGGATCTGACTGAGAAGTCATCCACAGGATCGTGGCCCATCTCCTCACAGAGAAGCAAAAGGCGAGTCCCTCGGAGCGGCCCTGGGGACGGGGCTGGTGCCACCATGCGGGGGGCAGCAGGGTCTGGGGGAGCCGGTCCGCGCGGCTGTATTTAGGGCAGCCGTGATGTCAGCGGGAAGGAGGGCTCCAGTTGGGGATGTGGTACAATGGCCCCTTTGTCCCCCTCCTCTCCTGCGCTGCACACGCACTCAAACCACATTCTGGCCTCACACCACGTGGTGCAGACACAGAGCTGCACAGCGGGGCACCGCCACCCCCACGGCCCTGACGTCCCGTGTCCCTTCCGGTGCCCTCACGTGCACCGGACATGCACACGCACACACAGGCACACACAGTCATGCACCTGTGGGTGGATTTGTATATATGTGGTGAGAGGCGTATTCACTCCTTGCCTAATACTGTAGCCACTGGCCATGGGTAGCTGCTAAAATTAATGACTAAAATTAATGACAATTTAAAATTTAGTTGCTCAGCTGCACTACCCACATGTCTGGTGCTCCAAAGCCATGCGTGGCTACGGCTACGGCATGGACAGCACAGATGGGGTGCCGCCCAGCGCTGCAAGAGCCCTGGCCTGCGCCTTCCCTGCTGCCTGCTCCCACTCGTGGGCTGGCTGGCTTGCTCCTCCTCTCACACTTGCTCTCTCGAGTTCCGGAAGGCACACAGCTCCACACTCTCACCTAGAAGGCCCGAGTCCCTCTCCTCCTCTCTCTTTAGTCTTTCCATATCCACGCACAGTCTCTGTGCCAGCCCCGCACCTGAGCGCCTGTCCTCCGGCCTCCGTCAGCTGCTCCTGGCCTGGAGGGAGGAAGGGTGAAGACAGGGCAGCACACAATGACAGCCCTGCCTGGTACTGAGGCGAAGATGAGTTTGTGGACAGGGAGGGCTCTGGAAAGGCAGAGGGGGCAAACTCGGCCAGGGCGGGCAGGAGGACGAGGGGACATGAGACATTTGAGCATGGCCAGGGGCGGTTGGGGGGGGTGGGTGAGCAAAAGCAGACATAAAGGAAATCGCA